TGGAGCTCTTCCCTCTGTCTCTGGAGCTCTTCCCTCTGTCTCTGGAGATCTTCCCTCTGTCTCTGGAGCTCTTCCCTGTCTCTGGAGCTCTCCCCCCTGTCTCTGGAGATCTCCCCATGGTCTCTGGAGCTCTCCCCCCTGTCTCTGGAGCTCTTCTCTGTCTCTGGAGCTCTCCCCTCTGTCTCTGGAGATCTCCCCACGGTCTCTGGAGCTCTCCCCTCTGTCTGTGGAGCTCTCCCCTCTGTCTGTGGAGCTCTTCCCTCTGTCTCTGGAACTCTCCCCTCTGTCTCTGGAGCTCTCCCCACTGTTTCTATAAGTCTTCCCACTGTCTCTGGAGGTTTCCCCACTGTTTCTGCAACTGTCCCCACTCCCTTGCCCATGGCTCCTCAGGAGGAGTTCAGTGATTGCCATTAGCGCCTGCTTTCAACTGTGTTTTAAGTCTGTCTGAGGATGTGTCTGTAGCACAAAGGGGTTTTGGCAGCCTCTGGTCAGACCAACTGCCAGATGTCTGTTACCTGGCTGCTTTCTTCTTTTCTTTTTTTTCCTTCCTTCCTTCCCTCCCTCCCTCCTTCCTTTTCTTCCTTCTCTCTCTCTCTCTTTTTCTTTCTTTTTCTTCCTCTTTCTTGATGTAGTCTTGCTCTATCACCCAGGCTGAAGTGCAGTGACTTGATCTCGGTTCACTGTAACCTCTGCCTCCCGGGTTCTAGCAATTCTCCTGCCTCAGCCTCCCTAGTGACTGGGACTATAGACGCATGTTGCCATGCCCCACTAATTTTTTGTATTTTAGTAGAGACGAAGTTTCACTGTGTTGTCCAGACTGGTCTCGAACTCCTCAGCTCAGGCAATCCACCTGCCTCCGCCTCCCAAAGTGCTAGGATTACAGGTGTGAGTCACTGCACCCAACATCTGGCTTTCTCGAAAGTTTTCATCTTTCTTCCTCATGATCTACTCTCTCTGTACAGGGCAAGAGGCATTCCCTCCAGAGATCACCCCTCCTTCCTCCATCTTCCTCCTCCTGTCCATTTCATTCCTAGAAGGGGAGCTTGGGGAACACCCCACAGGAAGTCTGAGAGCAGAAAACGAACGGAAAGAGGGCAGGAAAGAATGGAAAGAGGACAGGAGAGCAGGTTTTGGTTCTCCTTAAGGACTGGAATCAGGGTGGAGTGGTGAGGAGAACTGGGGCCCAGAGGAAGGAGAGTGCCTGCTGAGGACCCTCCCAGTGCAGAGGCCTCACAGACCCAGGGATGCAGACAATTGAGCCCGAGAAAGACAGTGAGGTGCGGACGTCAGTGATGAGTCTGGGACCGACAGACGTGTCCATAGGGAAGAGGCAACTGGGACTTGAATTGAAGCCCTTTAACTCCCCACCCCCACCCCTGCTGAGATTCTGCTCCCAAGGTGATAGGAGAAAACGCCACAGAGAGATGGGGTCTCAGAGTCAGAGACATCACAGTTGCAGGAAGAAAGATGGAAAGTCAGAGGGCAGTGGGGATCTGGGGGTCTGGAGGCACCACCTGCCTCAGTCGGCCCTCTCTTTGTGCCCCAGGTCCGAAGTCCCAGAAGGACTCTGTCCCGGACTGGGCCATTGTGTTGGTCACTCCCACGTTGGTGGCAGCAATTATCAGCCTAATGTATGGTATCAAGAAGGTGAGCAATGCTGTGGTCCAAATGTGTGGGTCCCCTATGCCAGTGGGGTTGGGAACCTGGTGCCCTAGGACTCAGAGGAGAACAGGACTTTGGGGAAGGGATCACAGCCTGCAGGGCTTGTTGTGGGGAGGGGGAAGGGAGCCCTGGTCTGAGTGGCTGAGAGAAACACTGGCTGGGCAGGGATGGGGTGTTGGGGCCACTGAAAGAGGCGGGGGAATGCTGGAAACTGACCGGGGCGCATGGAAGCACTCACTCAGCTCTAGGCAATGAAGGACCAGTTCTGTGGAGCCACATTCACTCGGGTTTGAATCCCTGTTCAAGATACTTGAGCCCTCTGTGCTCCAGATTCTTCATTAAAAATAATACTTAAATCACACTGATTATGTGCTAGGTGCTGTACATATTTTAGTTCACAGCAACTCAGTGATATAGGAAATATGACTCCTCATTTTACAGATGAGCTAATTGAGTCCTGGAGAAAATGAGAATGATGGCATCCATCTCAAAGTGTGGTTGGGGGGATCAAATAAGCTTATGCAAAGAGAGCACTAATGGTGCTTGGCATGTATTATAGTAAGTGCTCAATGTACAGCCTTATTTATTATTATGGATGTTTTTGCTCAAAGAGCAACGCTGAGTGCCTGGGCTGCCAAGGGGAAGCAGTGGTTCCCAGGGAGAGCTGTGCTGGGCAGCAGGTTCCCGGGCCCCTCGGTTAACCCATCGTACCCATCCCTCCTCTCACAGGCCTGCCAATTCCAGAGGGAGATTAATCTGGGGGGTGGCTGTGGCTTCGTGACCCCTGACAGCCGCTGCCACCACCAGAGGTGGGCCGCCGCCAGCCAGCGCTATTCTGTCAAATGAAAGGCGGGGCAGGGCAGCTAAGTGCCTACCGTTTGGCCTTCCTCCTTCCTCTCCCACATCATCTCAGACTCCCCTATCCTTTTTACCCTAGCCGGGACCATTTCCTGCAGGTAGATTCCTGGGGTCACTGGCCTCCCAGGTCTCTTCCACCAAGAGCGTAAGGGGGAGTCCACTGTCAGTCACAAGATTCTGCTCTCTGTCCTGCCACCAGTGCTGTGGACTGTGGGAAGGTGCCTAACTTCTCTGAGGGCAGCTTTCTCACCTGTGGAAGGAAGGACCAGGGCTAGTGGCCTGTAGGCACCTTCCAGCCCTCATGGAGCCTGGGTCTGGACGGCTGCAACCCCCAACCCTCACCCTTTCTTCCCAGTCCCACCCTCCTTCCCAACATCTGAGAAGCTCCTTAGCTGAGGACAGTCTGCTCCCAGCTCCCCTTCTCACCTCCCCCCATGGGTAGCCCCTCAGGCTGGCTCTTGAGCCCCCGAGTCCCCCCCGATTATCTCCCCTCAGGGCAGGTGCAGAACCCTCATCTGTGGTGTCCTCTCAGTATGCTCTGGGAGGGTGGCAAACACATTATTCTAAATAAAATGGTACTTCCTTCACTTGTCTACCAGATGCTGTGGGTTTGCCCAAGTGCATGGGCTTTTGTGTCGTGCAGGCCCAGAAGGGCCGAGTCTGGTCTCTGCTACCTACTATGGCAAGTCATTTCCTGATCTGAGGTTCATTTGTCCTCATCTATAAAGCGAGGGTGACAGGTGATAACTCATAGGTGAGTGCTTAGTACATTCTTCGGTACATAGAGATGCCCAAACATTGGTAGTTGGCAGGGTTGTTTTGTGACCGGCCTCTTAGCCTCCAGCTCAGACGAAATAGCATAGACTTACTGTAAGAGACTGTTTTGGGCCTCCACCCACCTCCCGGTTTCTCCAGCTCAGACCCTGCGTCCTTGGGGTGGAGTTGTAGCTAAGAGAGAAGGGAAGGGGCTATTCATTCACAAACACTGATTAATGCTTATTTTAAAGCAGAGATCCTCAGCTTCAGCACAACTGATGTCCTGGGCTGGATGATTCTTTTTTGCTGAGACTACTCCGGGCATTATCGGATGTTCCACAGCATCTCTGGCCTCCACCCCCTAGAAGCCAGGAACACCCCACTCCAAATTGTGATAAAAATGTCTCCAGAAGACAACAGATGCTGGAGAGGATGTGGAGAAATAGGAACACTTTTACACTGTTTGTGGGAGTGTAAATTAGTTCAACCGTTGTGGAAGACAGTGTGGCGATTCCTCAACGACCTAGGAATAGAAATTCCATTTGACAATTACTGGGTATATAGCCAAAGGATTATAAATCATTCTACTATAAGGACACATGCATATGAATGTTCATTGCAGCACTGTTTACAATAGCAAAGACCTGGAACCAACCCAAATGCCCATCGATGATAGCCTGGACAGGGAAAATGTGGCACATACACACCATGGAATATTATGCAGCCATCAAAAACAATGAGTTCGTGTCCTTTGTAGGGACATGGATGAACCTGGAAACCATCATTCTTGGCAAACTGACAGAAGAACAGAAAATCAAACACCACATGTTCTCACTCATAGGCGGGTGTTGAACAATGAAAACATGGATACGGGGAGGGGAGCATCACATGCTGGGGTCTGTTGGGGAGAAATAGGGGAGGGACAGCGGGGAGTGGGGAGTTGGGGAGAGAGAGCATGGGGAGAAATGCCAGATATAGGTGAAGGAGAGGAAGGCAGCAAATCATGCTGCCATGTGTGTACCTATGCAACAATCTTGCATGTTCTTCACATGTACCCCAAAACCTAAAATGCAATTAAAAAAATAAAATTAAAAAATGTCTGCAGAAATTGCCAAACGTTCCTTGGTGGGGGCAAAATTGCTCCTCCCTGTACAGAACCACTCCTAGAGGCTTGGGTCCCTGGGAAAGGGTGGGGAAGGAGACCAGTAAAAGGGGACTGTCAGTCACCCCGAGTCCAGATGGAGTTGCAGATGACAGCCTGTCTCTGCCTCAGTTTCTCCGTCCTGTAGGACGTATTGCCTGGGAGGCAGGTTGCCCAGTTCTGAGTAGTCAGTCTTTGGCCTGACTCCATGGAGTCTCATTAATCTGCCGTTAATCACATTAATAAGCAGTTGGCCTCCTCTCCTCTTCCCACCTATTCCAGCCCTGCCCAGGGCTCAGGGACAAGTCATGCCAAGTAAGGAGAGGAACCCACGTGTCCAGTTCTCTATTCCTCTCATGAGCCCAACTGCCCCAAGGGTCTGGCCTCCTGCCCTTAGGTCCTGGCCCTCTCTATGGCCTTTGCCTGTCCCACTTCCCTCAGAAAGGCCTCCTCCGGCCCTGGCTTCCACTCTGTCCAGGCAGGTAAACATTTATTGATTGCCTACTGTGTGCCAGATGCCGTCCCAGGCTCTGATGACACAGCAGGGATCCAAGGTGCTTACTTTCCATCCATGGAGACCCACAGTGGGCAGAGAGGGGTGATGACTTCTCTGTGTTAGAGACTCAGGGAGTCTGTCCCCCCCTACTCCTGCCCCTGGCACTGTCACTGGGGAGACAGATGAGTCTCTGAGCTAATGCTTGCTTTAGGCAGGAACTGAGGAAGGGAAGGGGGAGCTCTGGGTGCTCCTAAAAATGAGATGTTTGCATTTCTGTATGGAAGTGAATGAGGTGGGAGGGAAGGGGTAGAGTGAAGGTAGAAGCCCCTGTGCACCGAGTATCTCTTGGCCAAAGATCTTAGCCTCAGTCTTGCTGGGTGGCCTGACCTGTTTGTGTCCCTGGTGAGGGGTGTGACACCTGTCCCTGTGGGTCTGTGTCTTGTCTCTGTCACTACCTCTGCACTCTCCACATCTTGTTGTTTGACCTCTGAACATCACGAAGCACCTGTCTCTGCAGCGAGGGTCATTCGAGGGCTTTCTCTCGCCTTTGCTCTTTCACCTGATCGTTGCAGACAGCTCCGCCCAAGGTGGAAAGAGTGACCATGTGTGAATAAGGGGTGTGGAAGCTGGGCTGACGCGGGAGAGGCAGGAGGGTGCGCGTGAAGCTGGACACAGATCAGAACATGAACCCCACCCCGTCCTGCCCCCAACCAGAGCTTAATCCTTCTAGAATCCAGCCATCCGCTCCCCACCTCCCCAGAGCCCTGGAGGCCACCAGAGGCCACCCCCACTTTCTTCCACTGGAGCTGGCTCAGGCGTCTGCCCCTTTCTGGTTCCTATGCCCTGCCCACCCCTTGGCAGGCACCTAGGTACCTGACTCCATGACGCAGCAGCTGTGGTCTACTCTTATCAGGGCTCCCCTTTGGGTTGGGGCGGCTCCATTTGTTTAAGACTTAGTCCTGAGAAGCCCCAGCCCCCATGACGTCAAGATTGGCTCCATATAAGGTGAGAGGTCTGCAGCCCATGGTCCCCAAGCAGCCACTCAGCTCCGACATGGCCCAGCCGGTCCACAGCCTCTACTCAGCCTTTGGCCTCCAGTGCTGCCTCCTCTTCCTTCTAGCTGCTTGGGAGGCAGGTAAGATGCCAACAGAGGGTACGGATGACAGAAACGGCTTGCTTCCTAGTGTTCATAGGTTGGACAACAAACAGAAATGAGGGCACGGGGCTGCTGCAGACAGTTGTCTAGAGTGTTCACGGCTCAAGTTTGCTGGCTAAGGAGCATGTGGGAGACGAACTCCAGCTTGTGCTCTGCTCTTTAAAACATGGCTCACAGGGCTGCACCCACCCAGAGGGGGTTTCTTCAAGTTTGCATAAAGACACGGTAGAGGCTGGCAGCCTGGGTGGGTGGGGGTGGGCACCTGACATTCATTGAGCACCTGCTCCTGCTCAGTGCAAGGAATTCACAGCCGCTCATGGTGATTTCTTTTTTCTTTTTTTTGAGGTGGAGTCCACTCTATTGTCCATGCTGGAGTATAGTGGTGCAATCTCAGCTCCCTGTAGCCTCTGTGTCCTGGGTTCAAGTGATTCTCCAGCCTCAGCTTTCCGAGTAACTGGGATTACAGGCACCCACCACCATACCTGGCTCCTTTTTTGTATTTTTAGTAGACACAGAATTTCACCATGTTGTTCAGGCTGGTCTCAAATGCCTGGCCTCAAGTGATCCGCCTGCCTTGGCCTCCCAAAGTGCTGGGATTACAGGTGTGAGTCACCGAGCCTAGCGATTCATCTCATTTAATATCAGCATCCCCTGAGGTAGCTAATAATAACCCATCTTATAGTTGAGAAGGGTGGACTCAAGTGATTTTGCCCCAAATCTCGCAGCTAGAGGGGGAGGTAAGCAGGGATTCCACCCACTGCCCCAGCCCTGGAGGGATGGGCGGAGGGTCTCCCCTGAGAGCCCTGTTTTGTACAGACCTAGTTTCCAGTCCTGTCTCTGACCCATTTGCCTAGTCTGGCCTTCCACACCATCTATAAAATAGGTCGGACACTGCTGCCTGGCTGTATCGATATCTGATGCCTACAGAGCATTTACACGGCACCAGGCACTTCATCCACGTTTACTCATTTAATCCACACGGCGACTCTGAACGGTGTGAGCCAAAGGCTCTGTCCCTGTCTTACAGTTGGGAAACATCTCAGGGCTTTGATGAGAAAATGAGTATGGACAAGTTTCACGAACAAAACAGACCCTAAAGATAAGATGACATTGTGAATTTAGTTCACTTAAGAAACGGACTGAACGCAGGGAGCAGAGATGCTGAACACGGGGGCGGTGTGGAGGGCCTGGGTGACTTGGAGGAGGGTCTCCACAAGGCAGACGTACAACAGTGGATTCAGAGACACTCTCTACCCACTGGATAGTCATCCAAGGATAGAGCCATCCACAGTAACGGCGTTGATGATCTGGAACCAGGGCTGGGACAGTCGTGAGTCTGGAAGTCTCCTCTAAGCAGTACTGGGGCACGGCAGACAGGCAGCACCTCCTCCTTCCAGTAGAGTGCACGGAGGGTGATAATAGAGGCAGTGACCCTTCCCTGAGCTCAGTCAGTTGCGGTTGGGGGCGGAGGCGGGGCAGGTGGGTGGTGAACAGCGGGGGCTGAGGAGTCTTTGAGCTGCCTCTGAAAGATCTCAGCAGTGTGTCCTGTCCGTGCCCCGAATCGTTGTCCATCTCCCTTACCTTGAGGGTCTGGAGACAGAGGCACGAGAGCCGCCCTCCGCCTCTCGGCCCCATCTCTCCCGCCTTCCCTCTCCCTTCCCGTCGGGTGGATCGTCCACCTCCTGCTCTCTCCTTCTATCTTGCAATTTAGGGAAGAGGAACCTGCAGGGGGCGGAAGGGAATCCACCGCACACACAATCGCGCTGAGATTTGCTCCAGTGCAGACAATCTGAATTCCTGAGATTCCGAAGGGGCTTTGTGGGCGTGGTCTTGGAGAGGAGATGGGCGTGGCTGGGCGGGATGGAGGAAGGGGTGGGGAGGACAAGAGGATCTGGCCTCTTTCATTCTGCAGATTCTAAAGAGCGAGTGGGGGACAGGTGGGGAGGGCTCGAGGCTGGGCCCGGGTTGTGATGAAGTCGGTGGAACTGGAGTGTGAATCAGGGCTGGTGCATGGCTGTGCCCAGCAGAGAGAGAGGCCAGGGCAGGAAGGGAAGAGGGACAACTGGAATGGATGAAGCCCTTTAGTCCACCATTCTGGTTGGGGGGCCCTGACTTTTGTCCACAGGACCAGTCAATACCCAGACAGATAACTAGATCTTGGGACCCCAGAGTCTGCATCATGCAGTCACAGAACCACAGGTACAATGTAGAGTAAATCATCCGAGGGCAGCACAGCAGCCGTTCAGATTAAGTCATCACAGGGAGGCACAGGTGCAGTCCAGATGAAACCATCTGAGGGAGCACAGGTGCAGTCTAGACTAAATCATCTGAGGGAGCACAGGTGAGGCAGGAGATGGGAATTGGGGCTGGGGTCCTTGGAAGACTCTAATAAGAATATTTTTCTATAACAAACGTTATTTGATTTAATTTCTATAACACAAATAATGTATGCTCATTGTAGAAACTGGAAAATAGAAAAAAATTAGAAAAATAAAATATCTCTGTATACTCCCTAGTACCCAGGCAATCATTTGATTATGTCTCCCTTTAGCTTTCCTTTTTTTTTGTAGACATAGGTTGCCCAGACTGGTCTCAGACTGGTGATCCTCGTGCCTCGGCCTCCCAAAGTGCTGGAATTATAGGTGTGAGCTACTGTGCCCACCAGCTTTTCTTTTTCTACGTCTGTGTTTTAAGCCACTTATTGAACTCATCCTGTATAGATATTTTAACAAGCATTTACCCATATTATTGCAAATGGAGCATGCCATTGATGGGGGTGAGGATACCAGGAAACATGAGAGATGCGCTTTCGGGAGAGTGTGCTCTGACAGAGACTCCAAGGCATGAAATGCTTAGCAAGATGTCCTCCCTTCCTTTCTCCCCCCGCCTCTCCTTCCTCCTTTCCTTCCTTCCTTTCATTTTTTTTTTAGACAGTCTCACTCTCCCAAAAGAGCATCTCTCACTGCAACCTCCACCTCCGGGTTCAAGCAATTCTCCTGCCTCAGCCTATAAAGTAGCTGGGATTATAGGCTCCCATCACCACACTGGGCTAATTTTTGTATTTTTAGTAGGGACAGGGTTTCTCCATGTTGGCTAGACTGGTCTTGAAGTCCTGACCTCAAGTGATCTGGCTGCCTCCGCCTCCCAAAGTGCTGGGATTACAGGCGTGAGCCACCACGCCCAGCCAATGTCCTCCCACTCAAATGAGTGAACTAAGTGGATGGCGGGGATCTTTGGCATTGTGCATTGTTTTGATGTTGTGGGATTTGTTTTTATTCTTTTATCTCAGCTGAGCATCCACTTGCAGTGTCTGGTGTCAAAGTTGGATTTTCTTCTCTACACCTCCTGCCTATACTTCAGTGACCAAAACAGTTCTTTTCAGGCTATGATGGTTCTATGTGGAGTGAGTATCTCCTGGTGAAAACTTCCTAGGGAAATAAGTCACTACCAAAGGTAGATTGCCTGGGGAAGAGATGCTCCTCTTGTCCTGAGGATTTACGCTGACTTGCCTTGTGGCTGGGTCAGGACGAAGGAATCCCTTGAGCTTTACTTCAGCTTTTTACAATGTATGGTTCCACAATTGTTTGATACAGATCTAAAATTCTAAAATCTAGTTATCTGAGTCTAGTTATTGACTGTGATCCTGTGGTTTAATGACAACTGGTCTCCAGGAATTGGTGAGCCAGAGCCCTTCTTTCAATATCTTTTCATTTCAGAGCTCAATTACTTAACTGCAGAAGTCGCCCCTTGGTCTCCCAGCCTGTGGAGGTCACAGATACATTTGGTTTTTACTTAATGTGCATGATTACATGTTAATGGCAAGGCTTCTAAGGAGCTTTCATCAGTCTTTTTCTTTCATTCATTATTCAATAAATATTTACAAGGTGCCTCCTATGGACCAGACACTGTTCTAGGCTGGAGACAGTGATGAACAAAACAAATAAAAATCCATGCCAGGCCAGGCCAGGTGCCGTGGCTCATGCCTATAATCCTAATGCTTTAGGAAGCAGAGGTGAGAGGATCACTGAGGACCAGAGTTTGAGGTCAGCCTGGCCAATATAGTGAGACACTGTGTCTAACAAAAGTTGATAAAACACAGCACTTATCACTTTCTGATGTGTGATAAATTCAGTTGGGATTATTTCAGAGACTACAATGTGGATTCAACAAACACTTAAAGAGCTTCTGTGCTCCAGAGTCTTTCAGCACCACACTTCCCTTAATCCGCATATTAAGCTGGTGCAGTCAGCATCATGGTTATTTACAGTTGAGGGCATGGAGCTTCCGAGCATTTAAATGACCTCAGCAAGGATGCAAAACTGCTGAGGGACCCAGCCTGGATGCCAAACCTGTCCTCTGATCCTTTAAGTCCTTTTCACTGCTGCCAGCTCATTTATACACTCAATGGGTAGTCATTTGTCCCTTATCATGTTTAAAACCATCTGGGGCACAGTGAAAAGTCTAACTTCACCAATTGCTTAAGCTCTTTGCATCTCCTTTCCCCACCTGTAAACATAAGATCATAATCCTCCCTTCACAGGTTCATAATTATGTGATTAAATAAACAAACAGCATCTTTCAGGGAGTCCACACATGTCAGTGTCCTTCCTCTTCAAAAGACTGGGCTGACCCATAGGCTGTGCACTGTGGTCTCAAGCAGCAATGATCTGAGCCCAGGTGCCCAGGACACGTGTTCAGATTCTGTCTCAACAACTTCTTACTTGCTGGTTGTCCTTGAGAAGATTACTCAACCACTCTGAACCTTGTTTCTTCATCTATAAAGTTGGGAGAATAGGAAATAGTTCTCAACCTTAACAGGTTCTTATGAAAAGTAAATAAGTTAACGTATGCCCTCACTTGTAGAAACTGGCTGTCTCATAGAAGAGCTCCAGAAAGACTGACCATTGCTATTGTTGTGGGACTATGTACAGGTCACTTTTCCTCCATGAAGTGTAAATTTCTCAGATGTAAAATAGGAGAAGTTGACTGCTTCTAAAGAGGCTTGTGGAGCATTGGGAGATCAATTACCATAGAAGAGAATCCAGAAAGAGAATATTGTGAGGCCACCAGCCATGTGCTGTGGCTGGGGAAGGTGTCCAGTAAACAATAGCTATTACTGGTATTGCTGCCAAGGAAATCAGGGAATGGGATTGGCACAGAGGAGTGAAGCCCTGATCATTCAGCCCCTTCTCTCCCCTCACTCTCAATTCCTTTCAGAGACTGGGGCTTCTCTATTACCCTCACACCCTTCTTGTCCTGCCTGTATTTCAAGGACTGAGCTCCCCAAGCCCTGATTCTGCCCATCAGCAGGCAGGTTGACTGTGGTTTCTTGCGATTGGGAATAGGTCCAGGTTTTGGTTGCTGCCTTAAGCTAACAGAGTTATGTAATGACACTATCTCTTTCACTCTTTGGCGATCTCTTGGCCTTCACTCTTTTGGCTAGATATCAGAGATATCTCGTTTTTCTCCATCAGGTTGTTTTTCCATGGAATTAAGGCCTGTATCTGTCCACTGATAGGGGTGTTTTCTCTCACACCCTGTCCTTAAACATAGTCAGTCCCTCCCACAATCTAGTTGCCTCATTTACTCCTGTCAAGACCCCCAAGGAGAGATCTTTTCCTTTCAAGATGGCCCCCTTCATCTATCCCCAGATGGCTTTAAATGTGTGAAGAGGGGGACCCAGTGGGGTGACCATAGGGTTGGGTCATCTCATCCATTCTCCTCATCCAACTTTATCACTGAAATGAAAGTTTCCCATCTCCTTCCTCTACCCATTCTCCATTCTTCTTATACATCTCTCACTCACAACCTGTGTCTACCTTCCCTATGGGAAGTTCCGCCAGAGGTCTTACCTCAATTTCTCAAACTGTTACATTTGGGACATGGTGTCAGAGTGTTATGGAAAGGTGGAGAGTCTAATGTTTATTCTCAGCCTTCTCAGCTCTGTCATGGAAAGGAGATTCCATTCTGTAAGTATACAGACCCTAAAGGGGCACCTGCACATTAAAATGCTGTCCACACATGCTCTCAAAACCTTACATTGGATAGGCATGGTGGGGTGTGGAGGTCGGCAGGCATGCAAACAACTGTAATGTGAAGTTGAAGATCACAGGACAGAATGATGAATAAAGACCTTTTTAAGCACTGAAATGAAGCTGGGTTTTGTCTGCTTAGAGGGTCAGAAAAGATGCCCTAAAGCCAAAAGTCCCTGAAATGTAGAGTTGAGGAGGTGTGGATGATGTGGCATGCTTGTTGAAGGCACAGCCTGAGCCCAGAGGCTGGAGGTGAGAATGGGGAATAGATATCATAGTATTCAGAGGAGACTGGCTAGGGAGTCTTATCAGGGGGAACAAAGAGAAGGAGGTAGGCAGGGAGTTGGAGAAGAACATGGGGGAAGTTTCTTATTTGCCTCTCTCCCTCCACAGGTGCTACTGCACTCCAAGAATATCAGAAAACTGGTGAACTCTCAACATCTGATCATGTATTTCCCCTCACTCCAGGCCTTGTTTACAGTATCCCCTTCGATCACATTGTTCTGCATTCAGGACAAAGACCTCCAGACCTCCCTAAATCTATAGAAGTCCGTGAACGAAAACGCCACTGCAACACCACACGCCATTCCAAGCCCACTGACAAGCCTATAGACAACTCCAAAACTACAGACCATAAAAGCTCTACAGATAATCATGAGGCTCCTCCCACTTCTGAAGAAAACTCCGGCAGTCAAGGGAAAGACCCAGTGATCCGGAACCAACGCTCTGTTGATTCTGCTGACTCCACTACCACACATAAAGAATCATCTGAAAAAAAACATATAACTCCAGCACCCAAGAGAAAAATAACTTGTCGTAAGTCCTCAGCAGGCAAATCAACAGTAACAACAAAATCAGATAACTCTGGAAGACCTACTGCCTCATATAAGGCTACAACTTCCTTCCACAATTCAGATGATTCACAAACCAACCAAAAAAGCACGTCTTCTGAGAAAATCACAACAGGAACCCCAGAAGAGTCAGAAAAAAATGAAGATTACAGAACAACACTTGCCTCAGACAAGATCCTGATAAAAACTACAAAAAACATACAAGAGACTATATCAGCCAGTGAGAAGATCACACAGTCTCTAGCAGACCCTACAGAACATGGAGAAAAGACAGCCAATGAGAAGACCACACCTTCCACAGCAGAACCTACAGAACATGGAGAAAGGACCCCACTAGCCAGTAAGAACACCACACCATCCCAAACAGAGCATACAGAACATGCAGAAAGGACCCCACAGGCCAATGAGAACACCACACCATCCCCAGCAGAGCATACAGGACATGGAGAAAGGACTCCAGTTGTCAATGAGAACACCACACCATCCCTAGCAGAGCCTACAGAACACAGAGAAAGGACACCATCAGCCAATGAGAACACTACACCATCCCCAGTAGAGCATACAGAACATGGAGAAAGGACCCCACTGGCCAATGAGAACACCACACCATCCCCAGCAGAGCCTACAGAACATGGAGAAAGGACCCCACTGGCCAATAAGAACACCACATCATCCCCATTAGAGCATACAGAACACAGAGAAAGGACACCTTCAGCCATTGAGAACACCACACCATTCCCAGCAGAGCCTACAGAACATGGAGAAAGGACACCGTCGGCCAATGAGAACACCACACAATTCCCAGCAGAGCCTACAGAACATGAAGAAAGGACACCATCAGCCAATGAGAACACCACACCATACTCAGCAGAGCATACGGAACGCGGAGAAAGGACACCGTGGGCCATTGAGAACACCACACCATACCCAGCAGAGCCTACAGAACATGGAGAAAGGACACCGTCAGCCAATGAGAACACCACACCATCCCCAGCAGAGCCAACAGAACATGGAGAAAGGACACCGTCGGCCAATGAGAACACCACACCATACCCAGCAGAGCCAACAGAACATGGAGAAAGGACATCGTCGGCCAATGAGAACACCACACCATACCCAGCAGAGCATACGGAACATGGAGAAAGGACACCGTCGGCCAATGAGAACACCACACAATTCCCAGAAGAGCCTACAGAACACGAAGAAAGGACACCATCAGCCAATGAGAACACCACACCATACCCAGTAGAGCATACGGAAAATGGAGAAAGGACATCATTGGCCAACGAGAACACCACACCATCCCCAGCAGAGCCTACAGAACATGGAGAAAGGACCACATCACCCAGTGACAAGATCACACTATCTGCAGCAGAGTCTACAGAACATACAGAAAGGACTGCATCAGCCAATGTGATCACACCAGCCCCAGCAGAGCCTATAGAACATGGAGAAAGGACCACATTGGCCCATGAGAAGAGGACACAAGTCACAATAAAGTCCACAGAACACTCAGAAAAGACCACATCAACCACAGAGAAAACCACAAAAGCCTCAGAAAAGCCTACACTATACCCAAAGAAGACCATATCCACCAAAGGGAAAAACATATCAGTCTCAGAAAAGCCTACAGAAAACCCAGGGAACACCACACTGGCCACTGAGACCACAAAAGCCCCAGTAAAGTCCACAGAAAACCTGGAAAAAACAGCAGCAGTCACAAAGACTATAAGACCTTCAGTCAAGGTCACAGGAGACAAATCTATCACTACTACCTCTTCTCATCTAAATAAAACTGAAGTTACTCATCAGGTGCCCATCAGTTCTTTTACACTCATCACATCTAGAATGAAGTTGAGTTCTATCATATCAGAAGTCCCAAGCAACGAGAGCTATCCATACCACAATAAAGATGGCTCACAGAAAGGTATCCACGCTGGACAGATAGGGGAGAATAATTCATTCCCTGCATGGGCCATAGTTATTGTGGTCCTGGTGGCTGTGATTCTCCTCCTGGTGTTCCTTGGCCTAATCTTCTTGGTAAGGGACGGATGAACCCCACGGAAATGAATCTATGGGATAGGGAATTGAGACATTAGGGGTCAGAGTTACAGGGAATAATGAGTCTAGGAAAAGAGACATGGCAGGAGTGGGGGAACAGTAATAGAGGGAGAATTCTGGTGAAAACTAAGGGGAAAGACAATAAATACACACAGGAGATAAAAAGCTGGAATTGGGGAGAAGGCTGTGACTGAGAATGAAAGGGTGTGAAAATGTGGGGGGTGGAAAGTCTGGGTATAAGGACAAGGAGAATATGGTAGAGAGGGGAACTAAAGATGGAGCTGGGACTCATTGTATTGGATCTGGAGCTGGAATAAACATTAAGGTTTGGATGGAATCTTGAGAATAGAATCAAAGACCTGAGGTGAGTGTTGAGACAAACAAATCACAGATGGTTTTTATTCCTCCTTTCTCATTCCAATCACAGGTCTCCTATATGATGCGGACACGCCGCACACTAACCCAGAACACCCGGGACAATGACACAGAGGATGAGGGTGGCCCCAATTCCTACCCAGTCTACCTGATGGAGCAGCAGACACTTGGCACGGGCCAGATCCCTTCCCCACGGTGATCTTGGAGTAGGCATCGAGCCCCGGCTCTTCCATGCTCTGCCCCTTTCCTGGATGAGGAACTGGACTCACAATTTCTATTTCCTGGACTCTGGGAAGGGCAGAGAATACCGATGGTTAACAACAATAACCCTTCCTCTGTTCTTAATTGAAACTGGTTGGGGAATGAGGTGATAAGCAAGGAGGGTATAAGTTTAGGGGATAGAGAAGAAAGAATGAACAATACAAGTAGATGTTCTCTGTAGAAGGCGATGGTCTGAGAATGAAAAGGTGTTTGAGGGACATGTTGGGTGGGGACCAATACAGAACCTGAGTCCTAAAGGAAGGACAGGAGCCTTAGAAGGCAATGCCCCAGACTGACTTGTGAGTGGTGATTATGGGGAAAGGGAGAGACTGAGGGTGGAGTCTCTGGGTTTCAGGACAGAATTTTGTTATTTCTATTCATTATTATTTAAGAGTTTGTGCGATAACAGGCTCATCTCTGAATTGTCAGGACCCTTGCCCCCCCTTTTTTTAATTAAAAAAAAAAAAAGAAAAAAGGCTCCAAGAAGAAAAGAGAATTTATTTTCTTCTCCACTCTCTCCATTCCTTGAAGAAAGAAAAAGTCCAGGAGAAATTATAAATCTCTCTCATCCACATGGTTGTTCCCTCTTCCTCCCAAATCCCTTAGCTTTCCTTAACGTCTATAGTGGACACCCCATTGGTTTGGCTTGCTGGGTTGTGGGTGGACACAAAAGGAGGGGATCTTTGTTTAACCAGCAGTCTCACTCACTGATCTCCATCCCGGACCTAAATGCTGATGGTGTCTCAGCATTTATTTTCCTGTCTCTTCCACCAAAAGCCAGTTGTGGATTTATCTCATAAAAGTCACCCATCTTCTCTACCATTCCCATCCTCTCTCCTCACACCTTCACCCCTGATTCCAATTTTTCTCCTTGTAGGCATTTCATCTGTGTGTGTTTTCTGGATTTTCTCTCCCACTTCTTATGGCCATTTCACCTTATTACTGATTGGGCAGAGAGGGAAAAGGAGAATGGACATATGATGATAGTCTCCTTCTCTCTAATGACCTTTTTTTTATAATAGAGTATGACATGGTTATAAAGGGCATCATAGTTATTAGACTATGCATTGGGAGAAAATCCTGACTGGTGTTCCTGGTTCTGTCTGCGACCTTACAGAAGAGGAGCAGCCAGAGGAGCTGGAGCGCAGGACTGGCAATCTATGGAGGGTCAAGAAAGGGGAGGCTGAACCTCTGTTGCTCCAAAAATGGCTCCTTTCTGGGTTTAGATGAGAGCCAGCCTCAATCCATGGTGGGTTTCTTTGCATGGTGGCAAAATGAGTAGAAAAATCTGTCAATTAATAAGCAAGTATTTTAAAGCACCTATTATGTACTCTGTGGAGGATATAAAGAAGTATAAGACATAGTTTTCACCTGAGACACAAAAACAAGAAAATTAAAATTAAATAATTCAACAAGAGTGGTCACAAGGTAATGGTATACAGAATAAAACAACACCCTAATTCATTAAGCCCAAATCCGTGAGCATCTACTATGTCTCCTATATATGTTAGGGCACCAGCCCTGCTCCAAAACCATTCTGTGCCCATGTCAGTCCCAAGAGAAACCTCCCATTACCCATGGAGGCTTGGCTCTCTTATCAGGGGAGGATGGCATCATCACTATCAGGACAGGCACCCCAGTTTGCTGCCAGCCTTCTAAACATAACTCCACCTAGAATCAAACAGCAGGGCCACAGGTCACTCACTATCTGCTCCTCTGGGCATCCCCATTTGCTGAAAGCTGGAAACCTGTCATGGTCAGTAATCCCAACCCTGACACTGATGTCACCGAACTATCTGGCTCTGGCTGGGCTGGGAAGACCCTTATTACTGAATCTCCCACCAGAGACCCGCTCTGCTAAGGGCAAGATTGAAGCCTGACTCTCAGAGAGGAGGCATGCCAGGTGCCAGAGGGACTCCAGACTTAGGTCCCTGGAGAAAGGAGGCAGAGGGATACCTGGGTTCTGGAGAGCCCTCGAGAAAAAGAGGAAGATGCCTGGATTTTAGTTGTCTGAGCAGATGGTGACTCAGCCTGTGGCATCTGCCGGGACAGGAGTGTCTCTCTGCCCTAGGAGGGATGCAGAGACCCCTAAACTCAGCCTGGACCCTAATTAAAAAACAAAACGAAATAAAAACACCTCTGGCCCTGGAGTCCTAAAGATGAAACCGGACAGACCTCTCCCCTATCAAGACACCAAAATTCAGCATTGACGCCAAAGGCTGTGTGTAGAGGGGGATGGGGCGGGGGAATCGGGAGGTTCTTCGCCTGGCAAACGAGGACTGTGGGCCTTGGGGCGCGGCAGGCGTTTCCTTCCCACTTCTGGCATCTCTATTCCCCACTAATTATCGCTTTGAAATCTAAGCGGAAATCCTTTAATAAGCTCCGGGGCTGGGCCCTCATTAGGGATAATTAATCAGTAGGACGAGAGGGAATGCGCTCCCTCAGTCCCCGGGGAGGACACCTCGGGCGGTGGGGGCGGGGCGAGTGCCCGGAGGGCAGGGAGGCGGCCGGGGCGCCGGAAGCTGCTGTCCCGGCGGAGAGGGGAAGGGGCAGCAGGGGCTCCATTCCCCAAGTCTGCGACCCTCCCTCGGACCGCGAGGTTCCGCTTTGCGGGCGGCTTCCGATCTCTCTCGCAGACAGCGCAGATCAGTGGCTCGAGGCCGCGGTCCCCGCAGCGCCCCAGCCGGGCTGCGCCGAATCCCCTCCTCCCGGCCCACAGCCCCCGGGCGGGGGGGACCCGGACTGACCGGGCTGGGCTTCGCTCCCAGCCCCCCACCCCCGTGCCATTGGCCATAAAACTGACACGCGTTTGTGCTGTGCTTTCACTTACATCGCACCTGTGAGCCTCCCATCACCCTGCGAGTTCTTATAAGGCCTGTTTACAGATGAGGAAACCGAGGCTCAGAGAAGCGCCCTGTTGAAACCCACGCGGCTCCTATGGAACAGAAGGCTTGCTTTATTTTCTCCAAGCCTCAAATTCACTTTGTTCCTCAGTGGAGCCAGGTTCCCTGTTACTGAGGCAGCCCCACCTGGATGGGTGGGATGTTATAGGGACCACCTAAGGAACAGGGTGTCATTGAGATTTGTGCGAGGGTGTCCAGCCCCTTCTTCCAGAGTCCAGACCTCCCTTTCCAGCCCCTCGAACGTCCAGAGTCTTCTTCTGTCCTCACTGCCAGTATCCCGGGTCAGAGTCCTTCCTGCCAGCCTCTGTCCCCAGAGACACATTAACTGGCCTCATAGTCACAGGCTCTGCATCTTCCCATCATGACTCAAGAAAAAGGAACATCCGTACCTATTGTTTCACTTGTTTAAAACATGATTTATCTAGAATTTGGCTCATAAGTTTTAAAATCAACTGTATGAAAATTTGACAGTGTATTTACTGTTAACTCCTGCTTATGTTTTAGGAAAGCTCTTATGGAAAGAAAAAATGCTTCCCAGGTAGCTGACACAGATAAGTTATTTGGGGAATTGATAACTAAAAATTAAAGTCCTTTTTTTTTTTTTTTTTTTTTTTCTTTAGACAGAGTCTTGTTCTGTTGCCCGGGCTGGAGGATAGTGGTGCAATCTTGGCTCACTGCAACACCTGTCTCCCAGGTTGAAGCAATTCTCCTGCCTCAGCCTCCTGAGTAGCTGGGATTACAAGCATGTACCCCACGCCTGGATAATTTTTTGTATTTTTAGTAGAGACAGGGTGTCACCATGTTGGCCAGGCTGGTCTTGAACTCCTGACTTCAGGTGGTCCACCCAACCTTGGCTTCCCAAATTGCTGGGATTACAGGCATGAGCCACCATGCCCAGTCTTAGAGTCTTTATTAGCTTTCAAAACCATGGATGCAAAGAAGTATGGAGTACTCTTAAACAAGCTCCAAGTCCATGAAATGCCATGTCAGAATATGACCTTTTCTTTTTGCATAGCAAAATACTTGCACAGTTCCAAATGTTTGTCTTCCTGAGCAGCAGCCTCGAAGGTGATGCTACCAGGCCTGGCCAGTGTAGCTTCTGCTTTTCCCTTCTTCTCCTCTTCTCCTCCTTTTTCTTCTAATTCTTCTTCCTTTTCTTTCTCCCTCCTCTGCTTTCTCCTCTTCCTTCTTATTTTTTTTTAACAATGATAAAATATACATAACATAAAATACACCATTTTAACCACTTATAAGAGTAAAGTTTAGTATCATTAAGTACATTCATGTGGTTGTGCAACCATTCCTGGCGATTTCTTCTTGATTCTCTGTCCTGGAACCACTAAACTCGGGCTGGGTTTAGCATAATCATTGCCCATGTACTTGAAAAGTGGTGAGTCGCTGACCTCTGATGCGCAGCTTGGTCTTGCTGGGCAAACCCTTCTGGAAGCTGTTCTAGTGCAGCTCAGCGCCACTTCCACACACTCCTGCTAGGTTAGAGCTCTCCTGACACAGCTTTCCCAGCCTCATGGCCATTGCTACAGAAAGGAACTAATACTTGAGCAACTTTTTTTTTTTTTTTTTTTTTTTGAGATGGAGTTTCACTCTTGTTGCCCAGGTTGGAGTTCCATGGTGCGATCCTGACTCACTGCAACCTCTGCCTCTTGGGTTCAAGCGATTCTCCTGCCTCAGCCTCCTGAGTATCTGGGATTACAGAAACGTGCCACCACATCCAGCTACTTTTGTATTTTTAGTAGAGCTGGTTAGGCTGAATCTGAACTCCCAACCTCAGGTGATCAGCCTGCCTTGGCCTCCCAAAGTGCTGGGATTACAGGCGTGAGCCACCTCACCGGGAGCTGGATGAGGTTTTCAAATAACACTTTCCCCAAACCTCCATGATAACTGCAGAGTCTGTGCCCCACACAGACACCAAAACACCTACTGATGCCACCACAGCATCTGCGTCCACCACCGTCCCCAAGAACACCACACCCTCCATGATAACATCTACGCCTTCCACAGTTCTCAACACAGCCTCTAAATCCTCTGCAGCCTCTTCCACAGCCTCTGAGGCCACCATGACCTCTACAATAACATCTCTGCCCACCACAGTCTTCACCGCAGCCTCTAAAATCACCACGGGCTCTGAGAACCCCCAGCCTCCACCACAGACTCTGAGACCACCACAGTCTCCACAAAAGTCTCTGGGACAGCTGTAGAGTCTGTGCCCTCTCCAGCCACTTCCACAGCCACCATATGCCTGCTGAGACCACTACAGCGTTCGCGTCCACCACAGTCTCTCAGAACACCATAGCCTCCGTGAGCATGTCTGTGCCTACCATGGCCTCTACCAAGAGCACTGCTCTCTCCAAGATAACTTCTGTGCCCACTCCAGTCTTTATCAAAGCCTCTGAAGCCACCACAGGCTCT